CGCAGGGAGCTGGCGCTCTACGAGCGCCGCCACAACCTGCGGGAGGGCGGCCTCTCGGGCGGCGGGGGTGGCGCAGGGGTCGCCCCGCTCGCCGCCCCCGTTCGCACCGCCTGCGCCCCCCCAGCGGGCGGGGCCCGCGACGGCCAGGACCCGCCACCGCCGCCTGTTGGAGTCCCGCCAGAGGCCGCGGCCATCATGGCCCCCCCGCCGCCGCCGCCGACGGCGCCCCCTGAGGTGCCGCCGCCGCCGACGGATCCGCCGCCGCAGACGGGCCCGCTCTCGCAGCAGATCCCAAATGCTGCAGCCCTGAACGTGGCCCTTGGTGAAGACCTTGGGCGCCAGATCTTTGGGCCCCCCAGGGCAGGCGGGGGGCAGTGGCGACCTCGGTGGGGGAGCGCGGGCGCTGCCGTCGCAGGTCTTCGCAGCCGTTGCGCAGGGGGCAGGCCAGCCGGCCTGAATGATAACGCCCAGCAGGTTCCAGGGCCTCGACAGGCCGCGCGAGTCCATGCCGAGCTCTCGTGCTAGCCACTTTCAGTAGGGCGGCGTGCCCGCAGTGGCGCTCCCCCCGCGTGGCTGCGCCTGTGGCTTTAGCCTTTGCTCGGCGCGTGGCTTGCCATCTCGGCCTCTTCGCGTTCACTTGCGCTCGTTGGCCTCGCTGGCGGTGCTGGGGCAGCCCCGTGTGCTGCTACGTCGCCGTCGGGCGCCTGGCCATTTTGGCCTGCCGTCCTGGCCTCCTCTCGCGCCTTCTAGCGCTAGTAGGCCTTGATGGCGGTGCTGGGGTCGCCCCGCGTGCTGCTATGCCGCCGCCGGCGCCTCACTTTTTGCTGTGGGGACCAGCTGCCCTCGGCCAGGCGCCTGCTGCTGCATGCGCGTCAGACCCGCCCTTGGCTGGCCATCCTGGCCTCGTCTCGCGTCTTCTCGCGCTAGTTGGCCTGGGTGGCGGTGCTGGGGTCGCCCCGTGTGCTGCTGTACCGTTGCTGGCGCTTCACTTTGGGCCGTTGGGCCAGCTGCCCACAGGACAAGCGCCTGACGCTGCAGGCATGTCAGACCCGCCCTTTCACCCAGAAGAGGTGCGCGCTACATACTGGCAATGAGGCAGCCACATGGACGCTCTTCCCTAGGTGGTTGAGCTGTGGTGATGTGGTGCACGAGACCGCCAGTCGTAGTAGTAGTAGTAGTAGTAGTAGTCGTAGTAGTCGTAGTAGTAGTAGTAGTAGTAGTAGTAGTAGTAGTAGTCGTAGTAGTAGTAGTAGTAGTAGCAGTAGTAGTAGTAGTAGTAGTAGTAGATGTAGTAGTAGCCGTAGTAGTAGTCGTGGTAGCAGTAGTAGTAGTAGTAGTAGTAGTAGTAGTAGTAGTAGATGTAGTAGTAGTAGTAGTAGTAGTAGTAGTAGTATCGTAGTAGTAGTCGTAGTAGTGGTAGTAGTATTGGTAGTATAGTCGTAGTCGTAGTAAGTAGTAGTCGTAGTTGATGTAATATTCCTAGTAGTAGTAGTCGTAGTCAAAGTAGTAGTAGTAAGTAGTAGTATCGTTGTCGTTTGTCCGTTGTCGTTGTCGTCGTCCGTTGTCGTCGCCGTCGCCGTCCGTCCCCGTCGTCGTCGTCGTCGTTGTCGTCGTCATCGCTGTCGTCTTCCCCCCCCCCCTGTCGTACGTCGTCGTCGGGGTCGTCGGCGCTGTGGTAGTAGTAGTCGTAGTAGTAGTAGTCGTAGTCGTAGTCGTAGTCGTAGTCGTAGTAGTAGTAGTGGTAGTAGTAGTGGAGTAGTGGTAGTAGTAAGTAGAAGTAAGTAGTAGTAAGTAGTAGTAAGTAGTAGTAAGTAGTAGTAAGTAGTAGTAAGTAGTAGTAAGTAGTAGTAAGTAGTAGTAAGTAGTAGTAAGTAGTAGTAAGTAGTAGTAAGTAGTAGTAAGTAGTAGTAAGTAGTAGTAAGTAGTGGTAAGTAGTGGTAAGCAGTAGTAAGTAGTAGTAAGTAGTAGTAAGTAGTAGTAAGTAGTAGTAAGTAGTAGTAAGTAGTAGTAAGTAGTAGTAAGTAGTAGTAAGTAGTAGTAAGTAGTAGTAGTAGTAGTAGTCGTAGTAGTAGTATTCGTAGTAGTATTCGTAGTATTAGTAGTCGTAGTCGTAGTAGTCGTAGTAGTAGTAGTAGTAGTAGTAGTAGTAGTAGTAGTAGTAGTAGTAGTAGTAGTAGTAGTAGTAGTAGTAGTAGTAGTAGTAGTAGTAGTAGTAGTAGTAGTCGTAGTCGTAGTCGTAGTCGTAGTAGTAGTAGTAGTAGTAGTAGTAGTAGTAGGAGGAGGAGGAGGAGGAGGAGGAGGAGGAGTACGAGCGTCGGCGGAGACATCGGCGGCCAGGACTCTAGTGGAGGCCTTTGCGGCGGCACCCGCGGGGGAATCATCATTTTCCAATGATGCTTGGGGGTCCCATTCCGTCCATAAGCCCGCGGAGAAATCAATTATTTTCCAATCAGAACCCGGGGTGGTGTTAAAGACCCTTCGGGGTTAAGGAAACCGAAGGGAGCAGAGGGATTCGACCATGCGTTGAGGTTTCAGCCCTCACACCCTTTGCGAGCAGTTGCGGCAGGTCGTGCACCCTGGCGGTTAGGCGAACCACTTGGTGCTATCATTACAGGCGATGCGGGCTGAGGCTCAATCTCGAGGAACCAGTACCTCCTCTGCAATACGGCCAAAGGTGGGCCCGCAGAGAAGATCTAGCCGCCGCGAGAGGAATGGGCCAATGGCGCGAGCTGTGAAACCTTTGTTCCCGAGCAGGGCCTCGGTGTAGGGTCACGGCGGTGATCACTTGCTCCCACCGCTGGACGTCGCTGGGTGCGGTGCTGGCGCGATTCGTTTCCTCCACGCCCCGCTCGAGGATGGTGCCGCTTGTGCTCCAGACAAGAGAACCCCGCGCATGTGCTGCAGTGATGTTCACACTAGTTTTATCGAGTGAGGGAAAGAACGCTCCAGGACTCGAAACGCTTCGCGCACTTTCGCCAGTCCGAGTCTTGACCCATCTCAGCGCGGCCTGAAGCAGTGTTGGGGTGCATCGCCGTTGCTTCTGTCATTGCACCGTTCTCCGTGGCGCGGCAGAGTAGGAGGAGGCAAACTATGGAGGAAGGTGGCGACGAGGAGGAGTACTCCAGATTACGTAATAAAAGGGAGGGGGTCTGGACCCTCCAAGACAAGCCATTTCAGACCCCCCCTCGTGGGAGAACCCTCCAAAACATCGTCCCCAGACCCCCCCAGGCCCTCCAAGGTAGCCTGGAAGAGACCCCCCCCCGAAATGAGACCCCCCTCCCTTTATTACGAAATCTGGAGTAGGTCGAGGAGGCGGAGGGTGAGGAGACAGACGGCACATCCAAAGCTCACTCACGCGATCTTCAGTCCGGGGCCAGTGGCGGCGGCCGCCCCTGGCCGTTCGGATGCTGCCCTCCTCCTCCTCCTCCTCGACTGCTTCGCCAGGGTTCGCGCGCCCTGTCTGAGCCTCCCTCCGCCTCTCCCACCCGTGGAGCGTGCTTTCGGTACCCTCTTGGCCACAGCGCGCGTTATGCCCCCTACCCTCCTCCCCCCCTCCCCCCCCCCCAAAAAAAAATGACGTAACGCTCCCCCCTCAGTGCGTCCCCGGCACTGCCGCAGTGCGTCCAGCACCACAATCTGGGGGCCCCTCCCCCCCCCGTCCCCCCCCCCCACAAGGCCTGTTATGGCCGCGAAGAGAAAATGTGTTCCTTTCACCGTGTCTCTCAGACCTCCTCCCTTCTGACCTCGCTCCTCAATCCCCGGGGGGGGGTAGAGCGAAGCGTGGCGGCTGGCTGCAGCAGGTGGGTGTACCCCGGCCTCGCCGACGGCGAGAACGGCGTGCGCCGCGGGAGGAGCTCGCCGAGAGGGGGGGCAGGGGGGCCAGGGGCGCTCTCCTCCTCTTCCCCCGATTCAGGCGATCGCAAACAGACATGGATCAAGGGGGCGTGAATCAGCGACGGGGACCGCTTCCGTGGGAAGTCGCGGATTTCCGCCGCCGAACGAGGTGGCATGGGTCACTCTTTTGGGGGAGGGCACCTCCCCCGATCCATGGATTCGGCGACCGCGCGCCACATCCATGGATCGCTACTCCATGTTTGCGCGCCCCCGACCGATATGGTCGGGCCGGACGAAAGGGGGGATTGGGAAAGGGGGGGGTACGAAATTTGCTGCATGCAGCTGGTTTCGGCCCCGCCGAGGGGCCCATTCCTCGATACATGGCCGCCTCCAGGCGCCGGGAGGCGCCTGGAAAATCAGCTACGTGAGCTGATTCTCAAACCCCCCCTTTGCTATCCCCCTCTTTCGCCCGACCCGATATGGGGTCTTTGAGGCTCTTCGGTTCCGCCCCGCCCTCCTCCCGTCTCGTCGGCCCAGGACGGGCAGTCTCGTTCGGCGCACCCTTGGCGGCGACTCGCAGGCTCGAGCCCGTGGTGGTTGCTGCGAGGGTCGCCGCCGAAGGGAGCGCAGCACTTCCCAGCGCCGTGTGTCGCCGCAGTGCGGGTCCGTTGTCGGCATCTGAAGAGGAGGAGGAGGAGGAGGAGGAGGAGGAGGAGGAGGAGGAGGAGGAGGAGGAGGAGGAGGAGGAGGCAGGAGGCAGGAGGCAGGAGGCAGGAGGCAGGAGGAGGAGGAGGAGGAGGAGGAGGAGGAGCAGGAGGAGGCGGAGGAGGAAACGTTACACGTCCCAGATTCGTGCTCGTCTCCGCGGGCTCCGCCGCGGCTCGAGAAAGTGCAGCCGGGGGCGGCACTCTGGGCAAGGCTGCCTCGTGGCCAGGCGACCCGTCGGTCGTCGGAGATTCTTGGCACGGCTCATATCCTGTATCGTCCCCCCACACACACACATAACCTGTCCTCATTCCCAGTGGGCCATGGTGTCGCAGCCCCTCCAGCCTCCCCCCGATGCGGCGGTGGGTTTCAGCCCAGCCTGAAGAAGCAGCCCAACTTTGGTGGTTAAGTCTCCAAATCGGACCAAGGCCATGCCAGTGGGGATGGACTTCGGTTGAACCAAGCTCTTATTCTTGATTTCTGGTTGCCTCGGGGACTGTCGTCGTGAGGGCCAGACTCGGCTCAAGGATCTAGTCAGAGGAGGAAGTTGCTACAGAAGGCGCACCAAATCAGAAAGGTGCCTTTCACGACCAGGTGCCCCACGAAAAAAATCCTATTCCCGAATGGCTCTGTGGACCCACAGCATCTCTGGGGCACGCTGGGGCCCTCAAGGATCGACGAAGAGTGTGCTCCAATATTTCTCATAGCTAGATGTTTTATCCAGCTACCGTGAACAGTTCATGCCTAAATCGCAAGAAACAGCAACGTGCGATTCGGAGTATCATGGAGCTCCAGCTTGAATAATACGGACGCTGCTGAGAGCTTCTCTAAACAGCAGTGATCAGCTGAAACAGCGTGACCAGAAGCATTCTGAGCAGCTCCTCGAAGAAATAGCAACGTGTGATTCGGAGTGGTGCTGAGGCAGGGAATGGTAGTGAACACAGCTCGTGTGATTCGGAGCGAATGGTTCACGAAGCGGTCCTCAACGCTGCCCCTTAGATCAGTCGTTTCTTGTCCAGCTGCCGTGCCAAGCCCAGCATCCTGGGCGGTGGCTGTTCGAGGGAGCACGGGACGCCGGCACGTGTGACACCCTGGTGTCTCTAGGCTCGGGAGCGCCGTGATGACGAATGAGGGGGAGGAGGAGGAGGAAGAGGAGGAGGAGGAAGAGGAGGAGGAGGAGGAAGAGGAGGAGGAGGAGGAGGAGGAGGGGGAGGAGGAGGAGGAGGAGGAGGACGAGGACGAGGAATGCCATCGCATGTGACACGTGTTGCCTTCACTACTTGAGGAGCTCTCATGGAACTCGTTTGGGCCGTCTCGTGGCTGTCCTGGCCTCCTGTGAGGAAGTCTTAGTCTTCGGCGTCCCTGGCGGACAGCCAGGGAACGTTGGTACGATTTGCCTGGGCCGGACGCGCGACTCAACCTCCACACGGCGCACGGGCGCGAGCGCGCCCAGCTACGATCAGGAGCTCCGACAGGCTCGGCGAAGGCGAAGGCGACGGCGGCGGCGGCGACCGCGACAGACCACGCGCGGGGCGGCGGCGGCGAAGGCGACGACGACGACGACGGCGACGGCGGCGACGGCGACGGCGACGGCGGTTGCGGCGGCGAGGACGAAAACGAAGCTGGCGACGGCGAGGTCCAGTGATCGGAGCGCGCGACGGGCCAAACGTCGAAACCAAGAGGGAGCCGCCTGAGGAGAGCCCTAGCAAGAGAGCCTCCGTAAGATTCCAGAAGGCGCCCATGATCCGACACCCGAGGCGACGCTGACACGTCCGAAAGGGGACCCGCGTCACCGTCTGCGGGGGCCCTTGCATGCGTTTTCGGCTGCGACCTGCCGCCAAGCCCCTTTTCCCCAGGCTGGCTGCGCCGACGGCCCCTGGCATGGCTGGACCAACCGTCTGGTGCCTTCGCGCGATTTGAATCTTCGGGCCAACTTCACAAATCGTACCAACTTACCTGACTGTCTGTAGGGCCCTGGTCCTCTTTTTGCGGCCTCTTAGGCCATCTTGAGGCTCTATTGGGCCGTCTTGGGGCCCTCTTGGCGTCGGTAGGGCGCATCTGTTTCATTCCCAGCCATCCTGTGATGCTTGGTCCTCGTTTTGATGAGAAACCGCCCCGCGTCCTCCTTCCTCCTCCTCCCCTCCTTCCCCCCCTCCTCCTATCCCTGCCTCTGCCCTCCGCATATCCTCATAGTCGTCTCTACAAGGCAGGGTCAGCAAGGCGACACAACGCTCACGCAGATCGTGGCCCCACACGCAGCTCCACCGAAGGCTCAAATGCCAGGGTCCGCATGGCGTCGGTGTTTCAAGTCGGTACACACCTCACACACTTCGGGGCCCCATGAGCCATTGGGGGCTGAACAACTGGTTCCAGTGCCAGCGCCCTCATGACAGCACCTTCCAATTTCGCCACGCCCCTCGCACGCTTCTTGGTCTCATGTGGACTTCCTTTTCCTTCGCCCCACCTGTCTTGCGGTACTCGCACCTGCATCTGGTTGTGTCCGTCGCAAGGATGATCTTACAAAGGATTGCAGTCCAGGAGCGCACATCCGTAGTATGTTACCGTGGGTTGTGGCCTCGGGAGTGCAAACTCGTTGCATTTGGCGAGTGCCTGTGGCCTCGAGAGAGGGAGAGGTGCATGCGGCGCAGCGTGGCGAGAGAGAGAGGGGGGGGCCTAGAAGATTCACGGCCAACAGATAGGGAAGCCACGAGATGTGAAAGCTTACAGCTGATCTGGGGCCCCAAGATAGGAAATAGTGTGATGTCCCGTCCCTGGGCGCGCAGTGGAACGGGTCTTGCTGGAGGTGGCGGTTCCCCCCCCCCCCTCGCGGAGCACCTGCGCGACCCGCGCCCTCGATCCACAACAGATGCATGCCCTGGCATCGCCCGGACGTGTGCATTTTTTCCCCGGCGAGAACCATTGAGGACGATCCTGGACCATCGAGCAACAAAAAAACACGCACGAGACCGAAACATGCACGGGAAATGGACGTCCGAGCGATGGCGAGATGCCCTCGACCCGCCAACGTCATCGCCAGTCACACGCCAGCCACCTGCCCGCGCCCGCCCGCGACCTGAGTGGGCGTGGGGCAGGGCACTATAGCCCGGAGGGGTCCTGACTGCCGCCGGGGCTCCCCTCCCTCAGCTCTCGGCTGGCAATCAAACTCGGCCTTCCCCTCCTCGTCCTTCCCCTCCTCCTCCTCCTTCTCCTCCTCCTCCTCATCATCATCATAATAATCATCATCATCATCATCATCATCATCATCATCATCATCATCACCATCACCATCACCATCATAATCATAATCATTATCAGCATCAGCATCAGCATCAGCATCGCCATCGCCATTATAATCAGCATCATCATCAGCATCATCATCACCATCATGGATCCTTATTTTCTCCCGATCATCAGCGGTCGCCGCCGCCAGGGAATATTAATCTTTCCAGTGTCATTTGGGGTCCCAAACCGTCAAGAAGCCCGCGGAGAAAATCATGTGCTTACCATCATTGGGGGGGAGACCCGTTGCGGTTACCTCAGTGACTCTTTCATTCGGCAGGGCTGTATTTTTTCCCCCGTGTTCGTTCTACCGTTTGTTTGTCTGTTTTGGCAACGTTGTGTTTCCAGTTCCGTCGCCGATGTGTTTCTCTTGTCGGAGCCGTTGTTTGTTCCGTTTCCGCAAACCATATGTTTTTGAATACCGTTTCGTTTCTCAAGGTCAAGGTTCTTGGGGATTGCAAACGGACGGTCCTGCCACTTTCAAGGTCCACTAAGGGTACGGCCCACTGAAATGTATGCTGGTAGTGATACAGGCAAGCCGCGCGGTTGCTTGGTACGCATGCGTCCCGCTGCAGCCTCACGTGTGTTGAGGGCATGATTCATGTTCTGTCTCTTGCGCTTCTAAGTGTGACCCGCATCTTGTGTGTTGTCCGAGTGTGTGCGCGAATAGCGAATCGGTGTCTTGCTGCTCGAGAGGCGCCAGCGTTCCATAGATGTTTGAGCACTCCGTGCGCGTAGCAGTGCATCACACCTACTCCGACGTGTTCCTCGGCTGCGGGGACATACTCGTGCGCATTGCCTCTTGTGGGCTCCGCGTGCTTGTTGTTGCTTCGTACAGTCGGGGCGCTGAAGAAGGAACCCTTTTCCCTGGGCTCGGTGTTCCTTGATTGTTTCAAAGTTTGCCTCGGGTTGCCCTGGGGTTTTCCATAGGAAACCGAGGTTGGACTTATGGGAAAAAGGGGCCTCGTTCCTTGTTTAGGGTTCCTTAGGTCAACGCCTCGACTGTGTTTATTATCTTGGCGAGGTCGATCGATACGGCTGGGCGCTCGCCAACTGCCCACGCCTCCGTGGCGCGTCTCTCTCCACCAGCCCCCTGCTCGCTGTTCTGCTGCCGAATTCCTGCCCCGCCGGGGAGGAGCAAGACCAACCGGATGCCGAAGCCCGAGACGAAGGAGAGGGCCACGAGTCCAGGCGCCGCAGGATCCAAGTCCAGACCCCAGGATCGGCTCGGGGCGCGCGGGCGGGGGCACATCGGCAGGAGTACATATCGGTTCGGCACATCGGCGGGGGCACATCGGCGGGGGCACATGGGCACATCGGCTCGGCGCGCGCGGAGCGTCCATGCCCATCGCCAGGAGTACACATCGGCCACGCAGCTTTGGGACACCTGGCACGCCTGCAGACGACCCACCCGAGGAGGGGGCAGGCGGAGGCCCCCCCCCCTTCCCTTTGGGACGGAGGGGGGAGGAGGAGGGGGAGGAGGAGGAGGAGGAGGGGGAGGAGGAGGGGGAGGGGGAGGGGGAGAGGAGGAGGAGGAGGAGGAGGAGGAGGAGGAGGAGGAGGAGGAGGAGGAGGAGGAGGAGGAGGAGGCGAACCCCGAAGCGCCAGGGCCCTGCGCGCGGGGCGCCCCCGGGCGCCCCCGCGGCGGCCCCCCCCCGACCCGAGCGGGGCGCCCTCAGGCCGGCAGAGCCGCGGGCCTCACGAGGTGTGCCCATTGCGCGGGCGCACGGGGTTCGCCTCCTCCTCCTCCTCCTCCTCCTCCTCCTCCTCCTCCTCCTCCTCCTCACTCCTCCTCCTCCTCCCCCTCCTCCTCCTCCTCCTCCTCCTCCTCCTCCTCCTCCTCCTCCTCCTCCTCCCCCTCCTCCTCCCTCCTCCTCCTCCGAGCTTCGGGGGTTCGCCTCGCGCCGCCGCCCGCGGGCCGCAGCACTGGGCTGCACCGCACAGCCTGCGCCGCACAGCCCGTGCCGCGCGCCGCGCGCACCGCCCTCGCGCCCGCGATATGCGCGCGATCCCGACGCTCCGCCCAGAGATCCCTCCGTCAGGATGCTTCCGGAGTGCCCCGGGCATCACGCCTGCTCGCTTCCCGAGCTGCACCCGCGACCTCACTCTCGTCCTCTGGTTCGGATCGTGCCATGAGATGTGCTCGCCGCCGTCATCCTGCACGTGCGGCTTCAAGTGTGCCTGCGGCCTGTGACGCTCTGCACAGCTGCACTGCGTTGGGAGTCAGGTTGCTGCTCGTGTCCGGACAACCAATGCTGCGAACGGCTCGACGCAAGCTCAAGTCGAATCCAACTGCGCCTCTACTTCCGACTCGCAGGCCAGCCCTGCACGCCTCTACTTCCGACTCGCAGGCCAGCCCTGCACCTGCTTCTCCCCAGGGCCAGCCTCCCCCCCCAATAATCGACTAGACGTAAGAGTGACCTTTCGCCGGAGTGACCTTTGCTGCGGGCCGAATGGGGCCCCCAGATCGCCGAGCGCTTGCGTTTGGCCCCCCCGCGGCCCCCTAAAAGCCGCGCACCAAAGGCCACTCTTGCCCATGGTCACTCTTGCGTGCAGCCGATCTCAAGCCGAATCCAACTGCGCTTCTACTTCCTACTCGCAGGCCAGCCCTGCACCTGCTTCTCCCCGGGACCAGCCCCCCCCCCCCCCCATACAGTCAAAAACCCTAGTAAGGACGCGCGACTTTGCTCAGGGTACCCTTGCGTCCTTGCTCTTCCTTGCTCCTGCGTCCTTGGGGTTTTCGTCGTCCGCCGCCCCCCAAATCCCAACTTCGGCTTCCAAGGGTCTTGCGTCCTTACCGCGCGTCCTTGTTAGGGTTTTTGACTGCATAATGCCCCCCCAGACCTGGGGAGAGGCAGGGTGCGCTGGATATGTGATTCTATGCCGGCTCGGTGGGGCCCGAGGGGCGGCGCGCCGCTCAGGCACGCCCGCCTGAGTGGCCGAAAGCTCTTCCCAAGGGGCAGGCAGGAGGAGGAGGAGGAGGAGGAGGAGGAGGAGGAGGAGGAGGGGGAGGAGGAGGAGAGGGAGGAGGAGGAGGAGGAGTAGGAGGAGGAGGAGGAGGAGGAGGAGGAGGAGGGAGGGAGGAGGAGGAGGGGGAGGAGGAGGAGGAGGAGGAGGCGGAGGAGGAGGAGGAGGAGGAGAGGGATGTCGCCCAGCCTAGCATTTGCCCTTATCGACGCGGAGAGTCTCCGAAGCGTTTTCGCGGTCGTGTGTTCGATGCCCAGGGGGTATGTCAAGAGGTGTCTTGCTCTGGGCGAGGGCGTGGAGCATCGCATCCAGAGACCACCCTACAGGGTGGCCCTACCCTTCCTGTGTGTGCGGGGTGCATGTTTTCAGCGTGCCGCCAGAGTAACGCGTGCTTCTGACTCGTGGGGGCGCCGAGGCAGCAGGCAGAATCTAAGGGGGACGGCAGGACTTCGCAGGGGGATCTTGGTAACCTACCCTTTGCAGCAGCGATCATAACGTCCAATTCTTGACCGAGTCTCTGTAAAGGGGTTTGGGAGTCGAGGTTGTTGCGCTCGACTGTCGACTCATTCGAATGGCCCGCTGGTATCTGAACATTATTCAGCTTGGCCTCGCTCTCTGCGGACTCATGAAAAATGCGCTTTCAGGTCCACGACCGTCGTGGATCGTTGCGCCCTTAGTTGATGCTGGTTTGCTCATCTCGCGATCGCTGGTCGCAATCGCAGGGTTTACCAATCACGTCTTGGTCTATCGCGCATCTGGTCGAACCGATTGACCCACCATCCTTTGGTAGTTATGCAGGTACGCACGATGTTGGTTTGTGATCTTGTGTAGTAAGCTTGCTAAGACCTCACCCGCAGTACCCTTTCCGACGCCAAGGTCGCAACGTGGCATTGGGCCAGCAGCCTGTAGTACTCGAGTTCACCATCGGACCAGACTTCAAAAGCATCATGATGGAGATACAGAAGGCGCCTGGGGCGAATTCGGACCATACTGGTGATCCAAGCATTCGGTCATACTGCTCGTTAGCTGGCTCATTCCTTGATCTTTTCGTGTGTGTCCAGATGCAGGGCCCCGCTAGCTATGTCGAACATTCTGTGTTGCGCGCAGTGTATTCGTGGCCAGGTAGTTCAAGCGCAGTGTTGCCATGACTAGACGCACTCATACCCCTGATCGCGCCCGGCTGCTCTTTTCCTGGAGGTGAGTCGGTCTTTCTGGAGGGGGCGCCACAGCGACGCTCAGCCATACAGAAACGCAGGGATAGCCAAGATTCTGCTTGCAGGGCGTGGTCGTTCTGTAATTGTGGAGCCGAGGCCAGCGGCGTGGATAGGCTCGAGTGGCTGAAGCTCTTGGCGCAGACCTGTTCCCAGGGGTGGCGCGGGCAGACTCGCATCGTTGTCGGGCGGAAGCCGCCGGGCGCTTCGCAGAATAGACTCGCGCCGCTCATCCGCTCGAAGCATTGCCGCCACAAGGCGTGAACAGACAAATGGTGTGAATCAACACAGCGTGGATCCTGTACTCGAAGTGCTCGCGTCAGATCAGAGCATCTTGGCGACGAGCGATGGTACGGGGAGGGGGATGTTTCTTGCGCTTGGATGCCCTGTTCTCATCCACTAGCCAGTCCAATGTTGTCCAAGTCCCAAATTGTAGGGTCGCGCTAACTCTCCCTGGTGCTTCCGCAGGTGCGGTGTGCAGCGAAGGGGCTTCGATGCTTGGGGACCGCGTTCCGTTACCCTTGGGGAGCAGGGCAGGCTGAGGGGTTGGCGGCACTCTTTTTGGACATCCTCGGAAAAGGGGAACTCCACGTGTTCTGGCCAGGCACGCCAAGTCCAGGCGAGCAATTGCTACTCGAAGTCATGCTGTTATGCTCGACGGTCGCATCTCCGAGCCCAGCTTTGGACTCGGACATCGTCGTACGCAATTTCCGCATCAACCATTCAGTTTCCAAGCGGGCTATTCCCCCCCCCCGCCACAAGCCAATGTGATGCTGTCATGCGCGTATTGTATGCCTCGGTGGTGGCCCCAGGCATTCTCCAAGAGACTCGCCGACTCCGTGTCCACGAAGATCATCATCGACCAGCAGTGCAAGGGATGCAGCAGGTTCGTGTTGCGGGTCGGAAGAGGTGTCGTGCTGTGGGACAAGCCGAGCATGATGGCGCATCGAGACAATCCGTTCGAGACCTTCGAGTCTTCGCGGAATTTTGTCATGGAGACTATCAAAGAGAGAATGCCCACCTTGTTGCGGGCCACTAGGAAGCCACCTTGAGGAGGAGCTAGCAGACCCGCACAAATCTGCGTGAATCCGTTGACGGGCATTGTGATTCAAGCGGTTTGCGCCATTCCGCCAAACCCCACGAGAGTGAGTTCGTCAAGAGTCGCGCCACCGTGCTTGGCCTGTAGGTCAGGAGCCTCGGATATGCATATCAGGGTTTCCTGGGACGCGTTTCAAGGGCCCCTTTGGGGGGGCTTTTGGGAGCATCTGATTAGCTTTTGGGGCCTCTCGGGGGCCTCTTGGGGCCTCTTGGGTGCCTCTTGGAAGCCTCGCGGGGGCGCCTCGGGGGCCCCTGGGGGGCCCGTGGGGCCATCGCGGCGGGAAGACTCGAGATGTCAGTTCGCACTGCCCCTGTTGGGCCGCTCCTGGGCTCCCAGGCAGTCCTAGGGGCCCCTGGGGCCGTCTTGGGGCCCTCTTGTGCCCTCTTGGAGTTCCACTGGGCCGCCTCCTGGGGGCCTCGCGGGGCCGTCTTGGGACGATCTTGGGGGCTCCTTTGGCCGTGGTGGACGCTGTCAAAACGAAAAAGGCGCGTCTGTCGAACACGCACGTTTTTCCGGGGGGATTGGGCGATATGCACTCCTGTTGGTTCTCCCGGCGGCCCTCTGGCACCCCCTTTGGGCCTTTCTGGGGGCCTCGTAGGCCGTCTTGAAGCCATCTTGGGCCGTCGCGGGGCGAACCCTTTGCCGTCTCGACGCTCTCTCGGTTTGCCTCGGCACTCGTTTGGGCCGTCTCGGGGCGTTTCTCGGAGGCACCCGGAGAGCTCCCATGGGGAGCACTGCGGTGTTTGGCTCCAGGGGAGGGGGGACAGCCAGTCATCTCTCACGCCGTCTCACCCTGTAGGGGGCCACATGTGAACCCTACCCCTACCCCCCACGATTTCTGGGAGGGTGGTGTTCACTTCATTCGGGACCTCCCGAGCGAAGTGAACCCCACCCTCCCCCTCAGAAATCGTGGGGGGTAGGGGTAGGGTTCGCATGTGGCCCCCTACCCTGGGCGAGAGAGGGCCGGCGGATTGGAGGAGCATGGTCTCTTTCGAGATGTCGTGTGAGTACCCGGTTGTGCCAGGCGAGTTGTTTTGTAAAACATGGCCTTTGCTTTGGATGCGTGCCCTGAGTGGTGCGATCAAGCAGTCCAGTGTCGTGTACTGCAGTCCTATACTCTGATGGTGCCCCCCCCGGTGTAGACGAAGTGGATGTCGTTGCTCTTCTTCCTTCGCCAACACCTTCTGTGTCCGAGAGGCTCAATCCCCGCTGGAGCCATGCATCCCTGACAGAAGCGCTATGTCGCTCCTGTACGTTGTGGTATGCCATGAGGGTCGCGGTGGACTTCCTCGGCTAGGTTCAGGCCTGGGCTTGGAGTAGACTTTCGATTGGGATCGGAGGGGGGAGAAGCGACACCAACACCAACAGGGGGGCCACCTCCAGCGAGGAGGTCCACGATGCCTCCCCGAGCTGGAGGCTGGGGATGTCTCGAGCGAGGGGGGGGGCCACACCACCAGGGAGACCTCCCTTTCTCCTCGCATCTCCTCGCCCTGGTGGTGTTGGTGTCGCCTTTCCTTGTCCCTATTCGGAAGGCGACGGCGAGGGACGCCGCCGACGGCAACAACGGAACAGGGGAGGGACAGAGGCAGGAGGGCCGGATTGGGTGGGGGGAGAGGAGGAGGGTTTCCTCGTCCTCGTTTGCCGAGGGGGGGCACTCCTCTTCCTTGAACGACATTGATCTTCGGCTTTGGAAATGCTGCGGTTACATTGTCAGCACGCGTCCAGCACGTTGACTGGGGGGAAGGGGAGGGGGAGGATGGGAATGGGGATGGGGGAGCGGGCGACTAGGGGAGGGTGAGAGGGGGCATGGAGAGAGAGTGGGGGGGAGTTACCAGGATGAGGGACGCCCGCGATGTGTGTATAGATTATGCATTCCCGCCGTGCTGGCTGACCACTGTACGACGCTGCCGCGAATTCGAGGGGCTGACTTGTCTGCCGCACCTTGGCATCGTCAGAGCGAGGACTCACGAGGAGGCGAAAGGAAGAGGAGGAGGAGGAGGAGGAGGAGGAGGAGGAGGAGGAGGAGGAGGAGGAGGAGGAGAGGAACGAGGGCGATGACGGAGGAGGTGGGAGGGAGAAGGAGGGTGAAGGGTGAAGGAAAAGCAGGAGGCGGCACGGGTTGACGGTGGGTTTGTCGGGGCGCCCTCAGCACAAGCATGCGGCACGCTCTGTGGCGGTGCGGCCACGAGGGTCGTGCTGAGCTGCGGGGCTTTGGCCCCGATGGGGTCGCAGGCCCTCCGCCCCTGCTCGCGGGGTCCTGCGGCTGCCTTGGCCCAGCAGGCGCCCCTGACGCGCCGCATATCCCCACCGGCCCACCCTGCGACGACGCAGCAGGGCATTGCCTGGATCAGGGGTGCGCAGGAACAGACAGCGACACCGACGGAGGTCCGCCGTGCCGTCGCCGGCTCACTGCCCTCTCGTGCCCTCCTCTGTAGGCAGGGGGTCCGCTTCGGGCACGAGGGGCGCCGCGCGGGCCCGGACTGGCGGACGCCTGAGGTCGTCACTGCAACACGAAGCCAGGAGTCAACGACGAAGGCCTTCGCTGTGGGATCTGGGCACCTGCAGTGGGACAAGGAGTGGGGTTTCTCCTCTCCAGGCTCGCCTGTCATACATTACAACGCTATCATCTGGAGGAGCGCGTTCGGTGGTGACTTGAGGGGGTGGTGGTCTCAAACTGGCCCCTCTCCCACCCAAGCATCCCCGGCCGAAAAGGGTGGGGGGTCCGAAGCGCCCCCTCTCCATGGTGCTGGCAAGCAACAAACGGTGATGACAAAGCGAGGACGAGGAAGAGGAGGACGACGACGACGATGACGACGACGGCGGACACCGCCCGACGACCGACCGATGACCGACGAGAGCCGACCTACGACCGACGACGGCGACGACGATGACGACGACCCGCGCGGGGGGTGTTTGACCCCCCCGCCTTCCGCGAGGGGGGGGGGTCACAGCCACCGTGGTTGTAGAGAGCGGGAGCTCTGTGCGAAGTGGTGGGGTCCAGCTCGCCGGTTGCTCGGTCGTCTTGTGGGGGGGGGCAAGTGCTCGACGTGTCGAGGGCCGCGTCTCGCTGGAGTCACGTGTCGTTCCTGGCGGCGGTTTAGACGCGCGAACAAAGCCAGGAGTCAACGAGCAGGGCGTTCGCTTCGTTGGGCCGTGGAGGAGCTCTTTTCGGCAGATTCGGACAGTTTGTTTCTGATCCATGAGTCCACCGACGAAACAACATGGAGTCGCGCATCAATCCTCACCGACTGGAGCTCGGCACAACGCCTATCTGGGACATGCGTGGGCGCTCTTGGAGCAGTCCTGGAGGCATGCCAGTCAGATTTGGTGCCCCTTCTGGGCCTCTCGTGAGCTGACGAGCGAAACTGCGCAAACCGTGGGATTGACATAGCACTCGATGTGTGAAGGGTCCAGGGGGACATCAGGGCATCCTTGGGAGGCTTCCTCGGCTCCGCAGGGATGCTTTGGCTTTGCCCCCCATTGGACATCATGGTAGAACAGCTCGGCACACTGTGCGCAATCCTGAAGGTGAACTGGCTGCGTCTGCGGCCATACGGCGGCGGCATTGGATAAAAAACGTCTTCCCGGGGCCCAGGCCCTGGCGTATTTCCTTCTCCCTCAAGGCGAGGTGGGTGGCCCACGTTTGGCCGCCCATCGGTCGCGAGACCCTGGGCTCCTTATCTTCGGATGCAGCTCCTGGGAGGTCAAATTCTGATGTTGCCCTGGTCCGAAATCCAGCTTGATCCGGCTCAATCCCGCTTAATCTTGCTTAATCTCGCGCAATCCGGCTCAATTCCGCTTAATCCGGCTTGATCCGAGGCCCACTCCCGCGTGACAGCCCCCCAAATGGGGCTTAACCTCCCTTAATCCTTCCGGCGAAGACCTCCCAGTAGTTGCCTCCGAACTTATCGAAGGCATCCTCATCTACAGCCTCCGCCGTGTTCCCTGCCCCGCTCCTCCCGCTTGTTCCTTCTCTTCCCCCTCCCCGCGCGGGGGCGCGGAGGAGGAGGAGGAGGAGGGGGAGGGGGGAGGAGGGAGGAGGAGGAGGAGGAGGAGGAGGAGGGGAGGAGGAGGGAGGAGGGAGGAGGGAGGAGGAGGAGGAGGAGAAGGAGAGCCGCGCGCGACCCTCCCGAGGCTTGGGTCAGGGGCGCCCGCGGGCTCGGGAGGTTTCACGCCTTGGCATCGCTCGGACGCGTGCCTTTCCTCCTTGGGCGAGGACACAAGAAGGGCCTCCTCCTCCTCCTCCTCCTCCTCCCTCCTCCTCCTTCCCCCCTCCTCCTCCTCCTCCTCCTCCCCCTCCTCCTTCCCCCCCCCCCCCCCCTCCTCCTCCTCCCTCCTCTCCTCCTCCTCCTCCTCTCCTCCTCCTCCTCCTCCTCCTTCTCCTCCTCCTCCTCCTCCTCCTCCTCGGACGTGTGCATTTCTCCTTGGCATCGAGGAGCATCCTTGGCCACTTGGCGAAGAAATCACGCACGAAACAGGCGCAAAAAGCACAGGGAATGGACGTCCGAGCGATGGCCAGAAAAGGCGTTGTCGGACGATCGGCCAGGATGGAGCTGCGACCGTGGTTGGCGCATCCCGGGCTCCGGCGGGCCCCCTGGCCACCGCAGGTTCGCGGAGGTTCCAAAGGCATTGTTGGACGGTCGGCCAGGATGGAGCTGCGGCCATGTCTGGGGCGTCCTGTGCGCGGGCGGGCCCACTGCCACGCACGCAACCGAGGAGAGACACGAGCAGGCTGATGGGAAGGGGAGGGGGGAGGGCTGGCAGCAGGATGGGGCAGGTTCGGACAGGGAGGATGCGCAGAGAGGGAGCAGGGACGGTCTGATGAACGTGGGGGGGCGTAGCGGGATTCCTATTCTGAGAATGAGGAGCCGGGTGGTGTGGATCGGGCGGGTGGTAATGGGGGGGGTGGCTCAATTTGGGGGGTGGAGGAGCCCTCGTCTTCACCCCCGAAGGGCAGGCCACCCTCCCTGTCCAGCCGCACGGGAGAAGCGGAGGACAACGGAAGGTGTCAGGAGGAGGAGGAGGGAAACGGAGGCGATGGCAAGCGAGGGAGAGGAGCATGAGGGCGGGCAGGAGGATCGGAGGAGGAGTTTCACCCATGCTGGCACCCGGCGCTGAGCTGTGAGCCCCCTTTGTTTTGCCAGAGGTGCTCCAGCACTCTGCGAGGAGCGCCCTCGCGTTTGATTTTCTCTGAATGGCGACTCCGTTGTCAGCAGTCTTCCAGTCGCTTCTTCGCAGCGGTGCCCGCTGATAGCAATTCTCAGGACGCCAACGTAATCGCCTCCCTTTTCGCCACTACTCTTCACAAACGGCTCTGCCCCGATGCAGACAGTCTACCAGTAACGTGAACGTGGGGAGGTCGGGGTGTTCGGATGGGGGTGGATGAGTGGATGGACGGACGGGGGGTAATAAAATCTGGGATGGAGAGGAGAAGCATGAGAAAGTCATTGGCTAGGCGTTGTGATGCAACAGGATGTGATGCACAAGTGAAGGACAAGAGCATGATGTTGGATTGTGATGGTCATCGTGGCTAGTAGCAGCAGGATCAGCAGCGGGAGGAGGAGGAGGTGGAGGAGGAGGCGGAAGAGCAGACGATTATGCAGCCCACGATGGTGATTTTAGTTAGAATTGGCGGCGATGTTGATACGGAAGAATGTGATGATGAACATGGGCATGGTGTTGAAACAAGCGAAGAAGGATGAGGTGCAGGTGGGTAGGAGGAGCATGATCAGGTTCATGATGATGATGGTGAGGTGGAGGTGCAGAAGCAGCAGGATAGGAGCATGCAGGAGCAGGGGGAGCAGGGGGAGACAGTGTTGGGCGGGGGAGGGGGGTGATGGAGGGCGAGGAGGAGAAGGGCAAGGGAAGATACGAGGAGGATGGGGGGATGGGAATGGGAGGAGCGCGTGGGTCCCCGGTCGATCTGGCGACACGTGGGTGGGCCCTGCCTCTGCCTTGGCAGTCGTGGCCCGACCTGGCCCGAATGCTGATCTGTGGGAGGCATCGACCCCGCTCGGCCCAAGGCTGCACGGACGCTGAGCGCCGACCTCGCGTGGCCCCAGACTGCCTTGGGGGGACGAGCTGGGGCGTGCTCGTGTGCCCCTGCCCTCGCGCGGTTGCGGCGGCCATGGGCGGGCCGTTGACCCGCCGCGGCACGCGACAGGCGGCTGCACCGAGGGCGCCCTGGGGCGTGCCTCCCTGCATCCTCCCTGCCCCGCCCCAGCGTGCAGCGGCGGCGGGGCCACGGTCTGGCCCCTTTGGCTCGCCGCGGGCGCTTCTGCCAGGGGGTTGCCGCGGAGCTGCGTGTGCGGCGCTGCGCTGTTTCTGTTCTGGAGGCTCTTTCACCGAGAAGACGGGGGAGAAGGTGGAGGAGGAGGAGGAGGAGGAGGAGGAGGAGGCGGAGGAGCCTGGGGGAGGGGGAGGGGAGGAACGACATCGAGGATTCATGTGCTTGGACAGTTTTGTCGCCTTCTTTTGTGGGGGGGGGCTTCTGCAACGCTCAGGGTTCTGGAGACGTGAGTATGTTCGAATCGGAATTCCAGCCGGATCGCGCCCAGGGTGAAGTCCAGAGGCCGACTTTGAGGGGAGGAGGTGTAAGTTAGGAGGAGCCAGTTGCAGGAAGAAGGGTGATGTGGAGGAAGAGGAGGTGATTACGAAGAGGGTGGAACACGGGTTGTGCGACACCAGCTGATGGCAATTGAAATGTCAGTACGTTTGCTGCGGCTTCATGCTCAAATGTGGGTCCGTTTGCTGCTGAGTGATATTGCTACCATGGTTTGCTGCAGCTGGTGGAAGCTGTTCAACTTTGCGTGCGTTCGTTACCGTTGAAGTATGGTTATTTTGCTACCCCTGGCAATTGAAGTGTGAGTACGTTTGCTGTTGATTGCGTTTGCTACCGTGATGTGGTGCAGCTACTGGTAGCTCGTGAAATGCGGGTACGTTTGATGCCTTCCGCGGTTGACATATGAGTCGTTCGCTGCCCGTGGCAATTGAAATGTGGACACATCTGCTTTGCTGCTGAGTGCGTTTGCTACCCTGGTGTGGTGTGGCTGCAGGTAGCTGTTGTGCGTTTGCTGCCCGTGGCGACTGATTTCTGAAAATGGGCGTCCCGCTAGGGACTTCCTCAAAACACCGGCTCCACAAGGAGCTTCGAATCATCATTATCTCGGAACCGCTCACGGAGAGCCTCGGAACGGCCCCACAGCCCCCAGAGAGCTTCAAGACGGCCCCGGAGAGTCCCCGAAGGCCCCCCAGGGGGCCCTCAAAGGCCCCCAAGAGTTCTCGAAGAGGCCCCCAACAGCCGCCCAGAGGCCGCCCCTGGGGACCCCTCAAAGCGCCCCAAGAGACCCCGAGGCCGCCCGACGAGGCCCCGGGATTGTGTAACAGAGCCCCAAGACAGTCCCAGAGAACCCTTAGACACCCCAAGAGAGCCCCCACAGAACCTCGAGACGAGACCGGACAGTCCAAGAGGGTCACAGAGGCCTCCAAGAGATTCCCGAAATGTTCCCACAGAGGGCCCCACAGGAACGAAGCGAGGGGGGGTCCCGCCTCGTTCCTCCTCGTACATGTCTTCTTTCATCTCTTCCTCCTCGTCCTTGTACTTGTCTTCCTGCTCGTTGTCCTCCTGCTCCCCTCGCTGCCCTCCCCGTCATCCACGCTGTCATCCTCGTCTTCCGCCGCCTTGTCGTCGCCATTATCCTTGCTTTTTTTCCCACCCATGATCCCAAACGGACAAAATCGGCGTTCCTCGTTCTTGTCCGATTAGGCTAATGGAAAAAGGGACGCTTCTCTCGAGAAATCTTCGACAAAATCGGCTCCCGAAATGACTCCGAACCAGCATGTGTCTTGGAATCGCTCCTGGTAGGCTTCAAAAAGACCCAGGAGAGCTCCCAAAGGCCTTCTAGGGTACCCCAACAGCGTCCCGAGGGGGCCCCAAGATGGCGCCCATAGGCCCCCAAAGAGCGCCCGAAGAGGCCCCAAGATGGTGCCAAGATGGCGCCCAGATGGCGCCAAGATCGCCTGAGACAGCCCCCCACACAGAACCCTAAGGCATGCCCAGACAGCCCAAGAAGACCCCAGTAGCCTCCAGGAGGACCCCGACAGGCCCCCAAGAGGCCACCAGCATGCCACCCGGACGGCCCCTGCAGCCCACAGGGTAGCCTCAAAAGATCACGAGGACCCCTCTCTTCTTCGACGGCCTCTTCGTCGGGCTCTTTACCGTCCTTCGTCGTCATCATTACCATCATCAGCATCACCACCATCATCACCATCATCATCATCATCATCATCATCATCATCATCATCATCATCATTATCATCAGCATCATCATCATCATCACCATCATCATCATCGTCATCATCATCATCGTCATCGTCATCGTCATCGTCATCATCATCATCATCAGCAGCATCATCATCAGCATCATCATCAGCAGCAGCATCATCATCGTCATCATCATCATGATCATGATCATGATGATGATGATCATCATCACCATCATCATCATCATCATCATCATCATCGTCGTCGTCGTCGTCGTCGTCGTCCTTCTCTCTCTCTCTCTTCTCATCCTCCTCATCCTCCGCATCTTCCCTCCTCGTACTCGTCCTCCTCCATCTCTTCCTCCTCGTCCTCGTGTGTGTACTCCTACTCGTTGCCCTTCTGCTCCCCTCGCCGCCCTCCCCGTCATCCACGCTGCCACCTTCGACATCCGCCGCCTTGTCGCCGCCATCATCCTTTTCTCTTTTTTCCCCTAGGCGCCCCATGCGCAAAATCGGAGCTCCCCGTTCTTGTTCGATCAGGTTTGTGGGAAAGTGTGGGGCGAATCGTTCGGCCCGCCTTCGAGGGAGGAGGAGGATGGAGGGGCGGGGGTAGGAGGCGGGAGGGAGGAGGGAGGGGTATGGGAGGTGAGGGGCAGGAGGGGGAGGGGAAGGAACGGGGACGGCCAGGGCCTCGCGGAGAGGGAGGACCCAGAATCCCCGACGTCACGGTTCGCACGGCACGGATCCCAGGAGTGCCACACTCTCTGCCCGGGGCCAGCCTTTTATGTCCTGCGCCTTCTCTGCAGCACCCACCGGGCCCCAGGAAAGGGCCTGCAGCAGTGCCGAACAGCGACAGGAACGCCCCGCCGTGGATCCGTGCACGACGCGAGGGGGCCCTTGGATTGGTTGTCCCCAGGGGATTGCGGATGGCTTCCTATCCGCGAGCTCCTGGGCCAAAGTCCGACAAGTCTTTGTCGATCGATGCAGTCCGCGGGCGATCTGGACGAGTCGAGGTAGACCCAGAGATGTCCAGAGGAGTCTGAGCAGATCGTGGCAGGCCCAGCGCGAGCCGAAGGGCAGCAGACGTCGGTCAGGTCTGCTCGGAAGCAGGGGGCAGGAGTACACTCTTGGCGATGCTTAAGAAAACCCAGATTTTCGGCCAGAGCCTCGATTTTTCTTAATGTTTCAATGCGAATCCTGAGATTTGAATAGAAATGTTGGGTTTTAGTTCAAGTTCTGAGACGAAGAATTTCTTGACCCATGATTTCTTAAGCATTTCGCAGGGTGTAGACCCAGAGATGTCCAGAGAAGTCTGAGCAGATCGTGGAAGACCCGGCGCGAGCCGAAGGACAGCAGACGTCGGCCAGGTCTGCTCGGAAGCAGGGGGCAGGAGCAGGAGAAGATGGTTGAGCAATTTCTCCGCGGTGTGCCCCTCCCGAGGGCACCTTTGTGATGCTTCATTCCGCCAGGACGCCCTGCGTCCGCAGTGCCCCACTTCCCGAGCTCGGCTCTCGGTTCGTCGTGCCTGCAGCGCGCTCTGCGACCGCTCTGCGAACCCTGCGGTCGTGCGGAGCGGACAGCGTGATGCTCGTGGCCTTGGAGGTGGAGCGAGCGGGGGGGCCGCCATCCACACAGGCAGGGTGGCGCAGCAGCATCTGCTGCTGCGCGGGGAATGGCCACTGTGAGAACGACGACCTTCGCCGCGAAATCGGCATCGCACGAGGGCAGAGATGCTCGTCGCGTTTCGCGAGGACCCTGGGAGTGTAAATTTACACCTTGTCTTGCAGCACAGAACAGCGGGTCCATTCATACACGAATAATCATTGCGGAGAGACGTGGGCCAGTCACGCCATTCCCTAAATGATCCCCCCTTGGCAATGTGGAAGCACGTCTTGTATACACTATTCCAAAGCTTTGCAGCGGCACCCTTGGTGGCCTGGAGAACCTCCTTTGCACCACTGCATGGAGGGGGGGGTGCAAACGGCTCAAGTCTCTCGCTGCCGTCGCGCCGAACAATCGCTCCGATCCTCTCCTGCGTCGTTCCCCCACGAGACGGAAACAAAACGGGAACACGCTAACCCATCATTCCCCCTCTGAGCGATACGGGGACTGGGGATAACGTGCCGTGGACGGTGGTGTCCTGCCGCCAGACATGCAGTTGTCGGTGAGTCCCCAGCGATCCGATGCAGAGGACATGCGCAAGGGTTGCACTCTCAAGCTGCAAGTAATGCTCTCGCTCGGGTCCTGGCATTCCAATTTCTGGAATCTACGTGAGGGTTGCAGCCTGCACGCAGATGTGCAGCTGCCGGGTCGGTGGGGTCGGCGAGCACCCAAGAAAGCACGCTATGTTCATGGTCTTGCAGGTGGTTGCGAAGGTCAGTGCTGCACGCCCTCGCAACCCCCGATTTGGGGGACAGCGTGGTCCAGAGGGCCTTCACGAACAGCACGCGGTCCGCGCCGCCCGTACAGCACCTCGGAGGAGAGATGCGCACCGATACCGCTGCCCTCCCCCGTTACTCTCGGCCTCCTGGGCCTCCCCGCGGGGCCTCGTCGCCACTGCGAATCCTTCGTCGTCCCAGGATCTTCGGAGAGGTCCGAGGCGCAGCGGTATCGGTGTCGGTCTGCTCCCCCGCTGCCCCTGCGGGTCCACGCGACGCTCGGGTTCTCATCGTACACCCTTGGCATCGCTCGGACGTGTGCATTTTTCCTTCGGCGAGGACCATCGAGGAGCATCCTGGATCATTTGGCGACACAACCACGCACGAGACCGAACAAAAACACTGGAAATGGACGTCCGAGCGATGGCCAGCACCCCGATCTGGGTCGTTGGCTTGTTAATCCAAGAAACACCACCGGAGGCCGACCTATGGTAGTGGTTCGCTGGGCGCGGTCGTCGCCTGACACAGCAAAGCACTATCATAGGTCGGCAGCCCTCGGTCCAGTGGTGGTCGAGGAGAGTAGGCCCACCAATTATTGGGCCGCTTGACTGCTGGCATCCCTCCAGTTGTTGACGCCAAGCGGTGCTTCAGATGTCGGACTTGCAGGGGCTGGGTTCACACGCGCTCGAGCTACCTTTTGCGATCTCGGATGTTCGGGCTGGTCGCCCGCAGAGCCCGCACTGCCTGAGTTGTTTGTGTCGCGCTTGTACTGCCGTGCAGCGTTTGTCCGCGGTGGGGCACGCAGCAGCTCCCGCGCTGGAGAGACTCGCCACAGCACCTGGCCCCTGCCGCGGAAAATGAGGCACGACCTTCTGCCCGGCAGCACGCAGCAGGGAGGGGGGAGGGAGATGGGGGATGGGGCGGAGTGGGTGGGGGGCGGGAGGGGAGGATGGGGGGGAGTCTCCGAGGAAGCAATAGAGAGAGAGAGAGAGATGGAAGAGGATGTGGCGCAGGTCGAGGCAGCAGGTCGTAGGCAGGAGGTGATGAGAGAAGGCAGGAGTATGGGGGAGGTGGGGGCAGGAATCGGGAACGAGGGTGGAGGATGGCGTGGGGGAGAGAGGAGGAGAAGGGTGGAATGAAGAGGGGAGACGGAGGGTTGATGATTGTCGACTGAAAAGTGAGAACGGAGAAGGAGTAGAGTGGAACCAGAAGGGAGGCACGAGGTATAAGGAAGGAGGTATATGCATAATACTTCGACATCTGCGACCATACTTTATGGCTTCTCTGATCAGGGCGAGACGGAGCACGTGTTTGTTGACAGAAGCGGATGCCTGTTTGCAAGGTCTCGCCGTGCGCTGGTAGCTTCGTGATGTTTTACTTGAATCAGGATCGGCGGTAAGGATGCAGTACGCGCGCAGGGCTACGGTAGCATCCTTCGGTACAGCGCTGCATAGTGCAGCACCAGCCTTCATCCCTCTAGATTGGGGTTTTGCATCTCTTCGCGAAGACGTTCCCCTTGCATCGTTGCCTATTCAGTCAATTCTTGATTATGTGCCTATACGCGCGACTCATGGTAAGCGAGGCGCGCCCGCGTCGCCCAGCGTCTGTCGCTTTCGGCATCGCCACACCGCGTGGCCGCCGCTACCTTGCGCACCGTACCCGTGTTGGCGATGAGTGTGACAGGCTCGCGGCGCCCGTCGGCGAGGAGACGCGAACACAGATCAGGGCACGTGGATTCGCGGCGGGTCCCGCTTCCATCTGCAAGCTGACGCGCACCGCCGACAAAACCCAGACAAGAATCGACGCGCACCGTCTGAATACGTGCCTCCCCCCGCGCCCACGTGCCGGAACAACCGATATGTAAGCCATGTCAGCGTGTGCCCGGCATCGTGGTCAGAGCTGTGCAGCCCTGGCGGCCCCTCGGCAAGACTCCACCCGGAGTCTGGGCCGCAGCACCAGCACCCAGTCGAGGTCATCCTGTCCTGAATGTCGCCCCCGTAGTCTTGAGTCGGGCATGCCCCTCAACAGGAGGAATGGTCAAAAGTAGTCTAAAAGATAGGCTGGGGACGATTTTCCACTTTTTTGTTTTGTTTGTCATTTTGGAATAGCTCTTGAATGGTTTAAAGCTTTCGCCCTACATCCGCCTCCAGGAGGACATGCCCGACCCGAGTCGAGCTCACCCTGTCCCGAGTGCCGCCCCCGCAGCCATCTCCCCCCCGCGGCCGCCCTCCTTGCGTCGCCCCCTGTCCTGGTGCTACGGTGCGTGCTCGCAGCCGGGCCCAGCCCGCCTCGAACGTGCCCTGGCGCTGGGCCCAGCGGGCGCCTGGAGGGCGGGAGGCTGGCAGGACGGGGGTAGGCCGTGAGGATCCTGAGATCAGGGCGTCGGAGGGAAGAGTGGGGGGAAGGAGGGAGGAGGGAGGAGGAGGAGGAGGAGGAGGAGGAGGAGGAGGAGGAGGAGGAGGAGGAGGAGGAGGAGGAGGAGGAGGAGGAGGAGGAGGAGGAGGAGCCGCCCCGGCTCGTGCGCCCGCCGAGCCCGCGGCAGCACGTGCGCCTGGCTTCGTCCATCGACCTCGAGATTGAGTCGCCGCCGCCGCTGCGGCTTCTCCGCCGCCCGGCCGGTTTCGGCATCGGGGGGGGGGGGCATGCGCGCCGCACCCCCCTCGCGGTTGGCCGTGGCAGGATGCAGGGCGCACCTCTTGGTACTGTATCGCTCGGACGTGTGCACTTTCCCTCGGCGGGGATCATCGAGGAGCATCCTGGGCCATTCGGGCCGGGCGAAAGGGGGGGATTGGGAAAGGGGGGGTTACGAAATTTGCTGCATGCAGCTGGTTTCGGCCTCACCGAGGGGCCCATTCCTCGATACATGGCCGCCTCCAGCGCCGGGAGGCGCCAGGAAAGTCAGCTACGTGAGCTGATTCTCAACCCCTCCCTTTACTATCCCCCCCTTTCGCCCGACCCGGGCCATCCCGCGAAGAAGCCACGCGCGAAACCGAAAAAAAAGCACAGGGAGTGGACGTCGCCAGACTTGGCCACGCTTGGCCCCCTCCGCGGCGGGCCGTGGCCGGCTGCAGGGGCCCCGCCCGCCTCTTGTGTGGCCAGCTCTGCTGGCAGGAGCGCTCTTCGTGCCATCCTTCGCCAAGCAAGGGGTCCAGAGCCTGGCATCGCTTGGACGTGTGCATTGTTTCCTCGGCGAGAACCATCGAGGACCATCCTCGACCAGCCAGCAAAAAAGAAACACGCACGGGAAATGGACGTCCGAGCGACGGCGAGAGAGGGAAGCGACACCCGAGGCGTTCTGCCGTCAAGTTGCCAGGCTCTTGGGGCCTTCCATGGGCCGCGGAATTGTTTGAGATGGACTGAAGGTGAAAAGCGGGTGCTGGCTGAATGCCTCGGGGTCCACGACCCGTTTCTCCCAGGACCCGATGTTTTCATGCCAACGTCTTGCTGCGCATCTGTGGGTCGTTCGGTAGCGTCTTGAAACCCCTGCAGCAAGGCCTGCTGGGCCGCTCGGACACGAGGGTGCGGTCCCAGGGTCGGGGTTCAGGGGGTCAGATCCCCTACCGCGTGAGGGGCGCGCATTCTGATCCCCGAGCACGTTCCACTATTCGCAAAGTGCCCACTCGCGTCAAACGACGCATGTGTGCCTGGATCGTGAATCCTCCGCGGCGGATCCAGGCCATTTGCGAGTAGTTACTCTGCGAGTCGCGGAACCCGCCTGTCGAGAGAAGCCCTGTCGCCGTTTGAGTAATGGAGGATGACGATTAATAAATGACCGGGGGGCGTGTTCACGCGGCGGCGCCCAGGATGACGATTAGAAAAAACCGGCCGCGGGCTGGAAAACTATTTTTTAATCGTTCTCCTCCAGTCAGAAAACTGTGCAGAAATAGCAGGAAACTAAGTTTTTGATCGTTCGCTCCCGTTTTTCTTTTTTTAATCCTCATCCCGCATTAGGCCCGCCCCCATCGCGCCCTGCCGCCGTTTGAGGAGGCCTGCCCCCGTCGCGCCCTGCCGCGCCGCCCCCCGCGCCACCCTGCAGGCTGCAGGGCCGCCCTCTCGGTCGGGCGCCCGGCGCCCCCGCGTATCCGGGGCGGGGATCTGCCCATCACCACCGCCTGCGGCATCGATCTTCGGGGGCCGCGGAAGGCGACCGGCAATGCGGGATGACGATTAATCAAAAGATGGGAGAGAACGATTAAAAATTAGTTCTCTGCTGTTTCTGCACAATCTTCTGATTGGAGGAGAGCGATTCAAGAATTAGCTTTCCAGCCCGCGGCCAGTTTCTTCTAATCGTCATCCCGGGCGCCGCCGCGTGAACACGACCCCTGGTCATTTATTAATCGTCATCCTCCATCATGCATGCTCCATGTGTCGCCGCGCCGTTTGTTCCGACGCGCGGCCTTGCGTCTCGGGGAGGGCGCCTCGGTCTTTTTGGGCAAGCTCTCCGCCTCAGACGCAGGGCCGGTTGTGTCCACAGCGGGTGCGTTCAGGACACGTGGCGCGGCGGCGCAGTTCGTAAGAAGAGGGAGGGGGTCACAGCCCTCCCAGACGAAGAGCTTCAGACCACCTCTGGACCAGCTGCGAAATGACGGCCGTTTGCCCAGCTCCCCATGGAACCCTCCAAGACAGCTCAAATCAGACCCCCCAAATCAGACCACCCCCCTTGTATCGTGAAATCTGGAGTAGGTTCGGGCCCCCTGGGGCCCCAAGCACATCCTGATCCACCGCCCCCTTGGGCCCCAGAGCATCGATCCCCAGGGCGGTGGCTATGGGTAAATCCCAATCTCGCACTCGCGCCCGGCCAGAGCAGCAGGGCCTGCCCCAGTTCGGACGTTGCTGGGGGGGGCGCTAAATGAGCGGGCAGAGGACAGTGCACCACCCTTGCACTTTAGGGGCCCTCTAGGGCACAAAGGGGTACGAAAGGTGTACGCTTCTTCGATGTGCACCATCGGTGTGTAGCAACGCCCAATCGGTGTGCAGCCATGGCGCCCGCCCCCCACGAAGCAACGCCCAATCGGTGTGCAGCCATGGCGCCCGCCGTGGAGGCGGCGCCGGGCCGCGCGGCGGGGGAGGCCGCGGAGTTCGCGTGCCTGGCGCTGCGGCACTTCGGCATCGGCCACGTGACGGCGGAGCAGCTCCGCCGCGCGGAGCGCCCCCTCGCTCCCCCTCTCCCTCCCCCCTCGCCCCCCTCCCCTCGCCCCCATCCCTCGCCCCCCTTCCCCCCCCTCGCACCCTCTCGCCTCCGCTCCGCCCCCCCCTCGCCCCCCTCCCTCTCCTCCTCCTTCTCCTCGTTCTCCTCCTCCTCCTCCTCCTACTCCTCCTCCTCGTTCTCCGTTCCTTTTCCTTGTGGAAAACTCTTCGCTGTCGCACCACGAGGCCAGGCGGCACGGGCGTTTCGTTTGAGACTTCCCCTTAAAATTGATGAGCCTGAAGCTTAAGAGCTGGGAGCAGCTTTGCAGATGAAGGGCGAGTCGCTTTCGAAATGTGGCTCTCGGTTTAGCGCCGCACGCACTCGTCGTACAAAATACCAGGTTTGCACGGATTGCGGACAGGTCGTCTTCAAAATGTGGTTCTTTCTTGAGCGCCGCGCACATTCGTTTGAATCTGTGCAAGAGATTCACGGATTGAGGACAGGTCGTTTTCAAAATGTGGTTATCGTGTTTGCGCCGCGCACATTCTCTGGTCGTTTTCAAAGTGTGGCTCACGCTTGAGCGCCGCGCAATCTCGTTTTTAAGACATGCAAGAACTTCGCGGATTGAAGGCGGTTCGTTTTCAACATGTGGTTCCCGCTTCAGCCCCGCGCACATCTGTTCCAAACCATTGTCAGAACAAATGTGTTTTGGAGCGATTCAGGATTGGCAGGGCGCAACAGTTAGGTGTATTCGCGGTGTCGAAGTTCCAGGAACGGTGTTTTGGCACGATTCAGGGTCGCCAAGACGCAACAGTCAGGTTGACTCGTGGTGCTGAAGTCCTGAGAATGGTGGTTTGGCACACGTCAGGATTTCCACACGGTCGTTCTCAAACGTCGCATTTCCCCCATCGGACATGAACCCTTGAAGGGGCCTACGAAGAGGGAGATTGGAGGGAGGGTCTATGCCAATATCGTTGATGAGTCTTGGGTTTGCATTGGTCCTCCTCCTCCTCCTCCACATCCTGGTCCATCCTCCACCTCCTCCTTCCGCCTCCTCCCCCTCGCCCCCCTCCATTTGATCCTCCCCTTCCCCCTCCTCCTCCTCCTCCTGGAGGGCTCCGCTGCGGGCGTGGGGCTGCCCCCCCCCCTCCCCCCCCACCCCCCCCACCCCCCCACCCCCTTCCCCCTTCGCCTTGGCTCGGCCGAGGAGCACGGCTGGCCCGAGGCCGCCCCCGCGCTCTGGGCGCTGCTGGGGGACCTGCTGGAGCTGCTGCTCGTTCCCTGGGTGGGGGGGGGCGACAGCTGCGCGCGCGCCCCATCCTTTCATCGAGTGTCGCCGCGCCGCTTGGTCCGATGCGCGGCCTTGCGCCTTGGAGAGGGCGCCTCGGCCACAAGGGCCAACGCCGCTTCGGGCGCGGTCGATTCGCCGCGGGGTTTGCCGCGGTGCCCCGGCTTCGTCTGCTTGGGCGCGGGGCGCAGGGCTTGCCGTGGGTTTGCTGTGGTGTCGGTGCCGTACATTTTTGGCGCGTTCAAAACAAATTGCGCGGCGACACATCAAGAGCTTCTAACCTGAATAGCACAATGATGACGTAGCCTAACTTGGGTCCACGTGTTTTCATGGGCTGATCAGTCTGGGGGGCTTGACTTGGTAAGTCTACTGAACAGGCCCCCTATCCGTAACGGTTTTGGATTAGGTCTGCTCCCAAAAAGTAGGGCCCCCCATTGCTAATCATCTTTGATTCGGGAGGTCCCAGACGGGATGCTGACCACGCCGTGTGGTGAGTAACTGAGGATTCCGGGTCACCACGCGTTTTTGGGACTCGGGCCGTTTTCCGAGGACGTCTCTGGCGACCGGGGCCCCAAAGGTCCGAAGACCGCACGGTGACGGGCCGCGCGGTGAGGTCCCTTGGGGTTCCGAGGTTACCGCGCTGTTTGTCACCACGCGGTTTTGGAACACCCAAGTCATCGGAGAGGGTGGGGGGGGGAGGGAGAAGCGGGGAGGAGGAGGAACATAGACTGACGCCGCTACCCGCTCCCCGTCGCCACGGCTGGATTCGCTTCGAGATCCCGTTCAGAATGCGCTCCATGGGGAGAGGCGACGGGGAAGATGAGCAGGACACTTGAAGAGGATGGGGGAGCGGTATGAGGTCCTCCTCCTCCTCCTCCTCCTCCTCCTCCTCCTCCTCCTCCGTATCGTCCTGCGTCCTCCTCCTCCCCCTCCTCCTCCGCATCGTTTTCCGACCTCCTCGTCGATCCTCCCCGTCCTGCTTCGCAAGGTCCTCGCTCATCCATTCCTTTTCCTTCCAAATGATTCCTCCCTGTCGCACCTGAGGCTTGTCGAAAAGGCGGGCCGGGCGTTTCGCATGAGACTTCACCCTTTCTGACCCTGAAGCATGGTCCTGAAGCTTAACAGATGGCAACAGTTTCACAGATGGAGGGCGGGCCGTTTTCAAAATGCTCCGCGCACATTCGTTTGTTTTTGCTTCCACGAATTGAGTGCGGGAGGTGTTCAAAATGTGGCCTCGCCTTAGCGCCGCGCACATTCGTTTGAACATTTGCAAGAGCTTCAGGGATTGAGAGCGTGTGGTTTTCAGAATGTGGTTCTCGCCTTAGCGCCACGAGCATTTGATTCAAACACCTGCTAACGCTTCACGGATTGAGGGCGGCTAGTTTTCAAAATGTGGTTCTAGCTTTAGCGCCGACGCACTCCGGATGACCATCTGCTAGAGTTTCACGGATCCCCATGGTCAACAATACAGAAATGGCGTCTTGGAGCAACTCAGGATTATGAGGGTCCAGCCGTTTTTTCGTTGGCTCGCGGTGCTGAACTCCCAGGAGCGCGTTCTGGCACGATTCCAGATCGCCAGGGCGCAACAGTCAGGTTGATCCGTGGCGGTGGAGTCGCGGGAGGTAAGTTTTGGCATTCTTCAGGGTCGTCAAGCAGTTGTCTTCCAACGAGGCAGCTCCCTCTGTGGAAATAAACACTAGTAGGGGCCTGTGAAGAGGGAGCTTGGGAGGATTTCTGCCAACATCGTTGCTGAGTCTTGGGTTTGCACTGGTCCTCCTCCTCCTCCTCCTCCTCCCTTTTCTCCTCCTCCTTCTCCTCCTCCATCTCCTCCTCCTCCTCCTCCTCCCCCTCCTCCTCCTCCTCCTCCTCCTTCTCTGCCTCCTCCTGTTTCTCCGCATCGTCCTCCTCCTCCTCCTCCTCCTCCTCCTCACTCCTCCTCCTCCTCCTCCTCCTCCTCCTCCTCCTCCTCCTCCTCCTCCTCCCCTCCTCCTCCTCCTCCTCCTCCCCCTATTTCTCCGCATCGTCCTCCGTCCTCCCTCTTCGCATCGTCCTCCGTCCTCCCTCTCCGCCCGGATGGGGCTTGGGCCAGCGCCGGAGGAAAGGCCGTGCGCGCGCGCCGCTTCGCCCCCCCCGCCGTCGCTCCCGCGGGCGCGCCTGGCGGCCCGCCGGTGCATCCGCAGCCGCCAGAGGGCGAGCTGCCGAGCCAGGCTTCGCCGCGCTGCCGGCCCTTTGAGCCAGGGCTCTCGCGGGCGCGGGCCAGGGAGTTGATGTATCCGGGGCCCGGGATGGGCGTGCATATTTTTTATTCATATCGCCTGTTGTTTAGTTTGATTTATAATTTGTATATCTTATTAGAATGTCTTGTCAAATATAATTGTCTTGGGGATCATCATCGATGCCGGCCTGAATTCCCCATCGGCATACATGCTCAAGCGCTGAAGGTGCGCGTCTCCTGCGCGCATGGAAGCCCTGCTGGGCTTGGCGCCTCCCGCGCCCCGTCAACTGGAGGCCGCTGTCTTGCGCAGTCCCGGTTGTCCAGCGTGTTCCAACTGCGCCTGCCCAGCGGTGAGCCGCTCGATCACGTGCGCAGGGCCCGCCAGCACCAGCCAGATCACGGTGCAGGGGCGGGACTTGCTGGGGTTTTCTGCGGCGCTCGTGAGCGGCATCGTGTTGCGGCGAGGCTGGGGTCTCCTGAGGGCGCACTTGACACGAATGGTGTCGGCAGCGCCGTCCTCAGGGCGCACTTGACACGAATGGTGTCGGCAGCGCCGGCACCACAGACCACTTCTCTCCCGTCGTCGACGGCATCCCTGCAACCGCTCCTGGATCAGCCAGCCTCCGATTAATACGGTTGCAATGTCATCGAGCCTCAAGTCGAAGTGATGAATCGATCTTTCGATACCATCGAGTTCCAGGTGACAGCCCACTTCCCGGACGATGCCAACGGCTTCTACTGGCACGTGCGCTTCCTACTGGGTCACCTTCGCCCCGGCCCTGGATCTCAGAAGTCACGACGACAGTGCGACGAGACACATCGTGCTGAGCAGGAATGCTCTGTGGCCCGCAAGGATCCACCGCAACGAGATCTTCGGGCTCGGCCCCATCACGCGGGTGGGGCTCAACCGCTTTGCTTGTGTGCAGGCGCGCGTGCTGTCCGACGGTGACGAGGGTGCCGGGGCCCCAGAGACGGCGAGGCTTCGCGCAGGGCCTGACCTGGAGAGGCTAGGCGAGGGTGTCCCCCAGGACACCGTGGACGACCAGGAGCGCTTCTCGGATATTGGCAATTCGGCCGTGGCGGAGGTTCACGGCGCCGTCGCATGGGCTGCGAGGGTGATTGCCGGAGACCGCGAGGCTTGGTTTAAAAAGAGGCAGGCTGCTGAGCGGGATGATCGCATCATCGGCGTTCAGGTCAGCAGCGGCAAGAGGTGCATCGCGTTTAAGGGAGCCTTGGCTCTGTACCCACAGATGAAGGACAACGATTGGGGCTTCCCCGGGCCCGAGCTGGCCGCGGAGGGCCTTGCCCTGATCGACAAAGCGGGCGGCATCGAGGTTCACGAGCGAGACTGGCAGAACGACTCGGGGTGCATCCGGGCTCGTCCGCGCCTATCCAGCGGCGTGGCTCTGGAACGAAGACGCCGACGCTGCGGATCGAGGTGGGCCAATGGGCGCGCGCCCGACCTGCAGGGGTAGAGAGTCTTCGCCGCCGGCAGGTGCAGCTCGAGATGGCAGTCGATCGCAGCCCCGCCCGCCCCGACTTCACGGGCCTCGAGGAGGTGGTGGGCGGCGTGGCCACGGCGCCCAGCTGGGCCAGCACGGGGGCGCTCCGCGAGTGGGTCGCGGGCCGCCAGAAGGACAGGGCCCAGGTGCTCAAGCGGGCCAGGCCGGCGCGGGAGGAGCGCGCCCGCGCGGGGCCAGGGGCGAAGCGACTGCCGAGGCCGAGGATGGACCCGAAGACGATAACCAAGGGGGGCGAGGGCGACAGGGAGGAGGGGGCGGCGCCGCCGCTTCCCAGGATTGATGGCGCATCTACCTCGGGGGCTCGGGGGGGCGAGGCTCCTCCGCTCGGGCCCGCGCGTCGCGGAGTCCAGCGTCGTCTTTTGACGGTCGTCGCCGCGGCGAAACGCCCCTGCTGCCGCGGGCGACCGCGCCGCCGACCTGCGGGCTCGCGTCTGGCCCTGGCAGCGACGAGCTCGGCGGCTTGTGAGGGGGCCGAAGCGCTGAATCGCAATGCCACGGTGTAAACTTGACCTCGCCCCGCGGGGCTTCGATTTAATTAACTTGACTTCGACGGGCGGCGTGCTCTCGGGGGGCTTCTGGCTTCGAGGTCCCAGCGTTGGCTGCGCGTGACTTCTCAGAGTTGCAGATCTGTCGGGGAGCGCTATCGCCTCGCCCTCCGATGCCCCCACCCCCCGGCAGAGGCTGCGCAGCTACTTCGACGCTGCGATGTGCAGATCGGGCGCAGCGCCGACGGGCTTCTCGGTCACGCCCCGGATTTGCCAGAACCTGCGCTGGGATCCGCTGCGCGGCAGTCTGCCGCCTAACGCCGACGCGCGTTGCATTCGAGCACCTGGCCGGCATTGGGCTGGCCATTCTTTTTTCCGGCGCGGGGCGACGGTTTTCTGCGCGCCCTTCCCCGCGAAGAAGGGGGCGGGGTCCGCGCGGCCCTCGGCCCCCGACGGGCCCGCCTCAGTCATGGGCGGCCGCCGACATCGCCGCTTGCCTCAGCCAGCGCGATGGGCGCGGCGGGGCCGCGTCGGCGCCCATCTTTGCTGTCGACGCGGACGTCGACGACTGTTTCTACAATTTTTTAAACTCGCAGCGCGCCTCCAGGTTCCGCATGGAGGCATGGTGCGCGACCGAGGACGTCCGTGATTATGAAAACCAGCGACTTGCGACGGAATGACTGTCTGCGGCCCAGTGAGAAGGTCTTCGTTTGCTCCGAGGGTATTTACACGAGATTGTCATCTTTGCCCCAGCACTTGTCAGGGCAATGTCCAAAACCGTTTAAACAAATGATGCCCCCCCCGGATCCCGACTGCCATTCATTCGCATCCGAATAATGATGGTTTCTCTCCCCCATGGACAAGATTCCATGGATGCTGATATGCCGATCGATGCCATTTGTACGTGCCTCGGTACCAGGGAGAATGCCGACGGGGATGTTCCCGTCTTCCGATCAGAGAATGAATTTTTACATAGGGGTTTTCGCCATTGGGTTCTGGAATTCAACATCGCCCCCGTGGTCTAAAATCTATCAGCGGCATGCCGCCGCCGCGCGCGCGCGGGCGCGCGCGTTGGCGATTGGCATTCGCGCATTCGGTGTCGCATTTCCACGCGGGGATGTTCCCGTCACCCGATCAGAGAATGAATGTTTACATTGGGTTTTCGCCATTGGGTTTTGGAATTCAACATCGCTCCCGTGGTCTGAAATCTATCAGCGGTATGCTGCCGCCGCGCGCGCGTTGGCGATTGGCAGTTGCGCGTTCAGTGTCGCATATCAACATGGGGGTGTTCTCGTCTTCCGATCAGAGAATGGATTTTTACTTCAGGTTTTCGCCATTAGATTTTGGAGTTCAACCTCGCTCCCGTTGTGCCAAGCCTATCAGCGGCATGCCGCCTCCGCGCGCGCGTTGGCGCTTGGCATTTGTGCATTCAGTGCCGTATATCCACGTCGGGATGTTCCCGTCTTCCGATCAGAGAATGAGTTTTTACATGGGGTTTTCGCCATTGGGTTCTGGAATTCAACATCGCCCCCGTTGCATCATATCAGCGGCATGCCGCCGCCGCGCGCGCGTTTGCGATTGGCATGTTTGCATTCAGCGTCGCATATCCACATGGGGATATTTCCGTCTTCAGATCAGAGAATGAGTTTTTACATTGGGTTTTCGCCATTGGGTTTTGGAGATCAAATTTCGCCCCGTTGTATAAGATTCATCAGCGGCATGCCGCCGCAGCGCGCGCGCGCTAATCTTCGCCCCGTTGTGTAACATCTATCAGCGGCATGCCGCCTTCGCGCGCGCGCGCGCGCGCGCGCGCGCGCGTTGGCGCTTGGCATTATTGCATGTGGTGTCGCATATCCACATCGGGATGTTCCCGTCTTCCGATCAGAGAATGAATTTTTACATTGGGTCTTTGCCATTTTGTTTTGGAGATCAAATTTCGCCCCGTTGTATACAATCGATCAGCGGCATGCCGCCGCCGCGCGCGCGCTCAACTTCGCCCCGTTGAATAGAATATATCAGCGGCATGCCGCCTCCGCGCGCGCGTTGGCGCTTGGCATTTGTGCATTCAGTGCCGTATATCCACATCGGGATGTTCCCGTCTTCCGATCAGAGAATGAGTTTTTACATTGGGTGGGTTTTCGCCATTGGGTTTTGAAGATCAAATTTCGTCCCGTTGTATAATCTATCAGCGGCGTGCCGCATTCGCGCGTCCAGCGCCGCTTCGCAACCCAGAGAGGGTGCGCGGTGCGCAGGGAGTGGTCCCTGAGCGCAGTCTCCATCCACGAGGGGGTCGCATGGCGTGGCAGGCGTGGCCTGACGCCAAGAGGGGGTGCGCAGGAATCTGCCCCTGCACGCGGGGCGCCAGGGCGGTCGCGGGGGCGTCTCCAGCGACCCAGTTTGCCCCGCCCCCCTTGTGTTTTCTATAGGCGCACTACAGCGCCGGGGAAAACGACGTTTTTAATTGTCTCCCCACATTTTGTTGAACAGTTTTTTGATATTAATCTCGCGGCCATTCAACGCCCCCTTAAATTGCGCGGCGCGCCGAGAGACCGGGCCACTGCGCCCGGCGTCTGTCAAGGGGCCGCTGCCGGGGAGGTCTGCGCTGGCAATTTCAACTCCTTGAGCCTCGGCGCCAGTGACTCGCGCGACAATGCGGGTCGCATATGCAGCCCGCTCGCGCCCCAACGCGAAGGCACGCGCGGGCGACGTAGCGGAGTGACCTACCTGGCGAGCCCGGGCCCGGTGTTCCATGCCCAACGCGAGGTGCCTCGTCGCACCCAGCGGCGGACGTGGAGATTCGCCTTCGCGACGCGGGCCTATCTTCGACGCCCCCACATCAGGGGCGAGGAGATGGAGGCACGGCTCGGAGACGCGGCCTGCATGATCTCGTCGGCGCCCGAGCTCTCCGCCATCTTGCAGGACTTCCGCGCCTTCGTCGCGGAGGCGCGCGGTCGGCGGCTTCTGGTCCCTCCCGCGGCGAAGTTGGAGGTGGAGCTGGTCCGCTGTCTGGTTTTCCGTCATCGAGGCGGGGTCGGCGCCCCCGTCTGGCGGGGGGTGCGCGCGGGCGACTCTTCCGCCGTTGGTTGCGCGCTGCTGTCCGCAGAGTGCGAGGCGCAGGAGTTCCACGACGCTGCGAGATACCGCGAGCGCAGGCGCCGCCGCGCGGTCCAGAGCCTCGCGCCCGCGAGGCTGGACGCCCCCGACGTGATTGACGAGCCGGGGGGCCTCTCAGCTAAGGTCTCTACCGGCGAGGAGGTCTTCTGCGATGCGGCCGCCCCGGGGCGCTCAGCTTTGCCAGTCGCGAGCGACGCCTCCGCCGCGAGCGCAGTCCGCGCGGCGCGCGCGGCGCACTGTCCGCTGCGCGGCGGAGGTTCAGGCGCCACTGGAGGGAGAGATCTGGCTGGACGACATCGCCCCCCCGTCGACCGATCGATGGTTTTGACGCGATCGGCGGGCCTCCCTGTGCGAGCGGGAGCGGGAGTGGCCCGATGAGCGCATCAACTCGAAGGGCCCACTTGCCTTCCCGTCCCTTCGCCACCTCGGAATTGGCGCCCGCGCGCGCTGCCGTCGCTGTCTGCGCACAGGCGAGAACTCGGTGACGTTCAACGGTTTCGAGAAAGGTCGACTCAGGAGTCCCGCTCTCGACGCGCTGGCTCGACGCTTGACCCTTATCGTCTCGGCCGCGGCGTCGACGCGAGATATCGTCCGGGGCGGGCGCAACGTTGCTGACTGTGGGTCTCGGTTCCTCAGAAGGCTCGCGGGCGCGTGGCCGATAGGCGCGGCAATGTTCGCGCAGTGAAGAGTTGTCTGTCGGGTGTCCACGTTCAGCTGGACAGTGGCGATGCATTTGTGGGGCTCAGTATCCCCTGCGCACCTCGCCCTCGTCGTCGGCTACGCCTGCGGCGCGGGCGCCGCGGAGGCCACCGCCGACCGACGTGGATTGTAACGGTGTCTTGGTAGGCGACCCGCGCGGCCGTGGCTCATCTCTCTGTCGGGGTGACATGATTTTCTTGGAGCTGCCTCAAGGCTCCGCAGAGCTCTCCAGGGCTGCGCGACGGCGCGGCCAACGCGTGGCCCCCCGTATCTTTGTAGGAGGGGCGTCAAAAGATTGGAGCGGGCCCGGCAGCTGGAGTTGGCGGGGGTCGAGCAGGCGGTTTTCGCTGCGGAGGTCGCCCGCAAACGCCATGGACGTAGAGTGTCTTGGTCAATTCAGAATCTTGCGACCTCGAAGCTTTGGAGCGCTTCCCCCGGTCCATGGGCGCTGCTGTCTTTCTGCGGCCATCGAGGCGGGCCCGCGGCAATGCCAGCGCCCAGTGCCGTAAAAAAAAAAACGACCACTCTGCGCGCTAGATCTTCCGCCCTCGCAAGCGTGGAAGCTCGATGTCCTGGCGCCGCGCCTGACCGCCAGCGTGCGCACCCCGCAGGGGCCCGCCGACTTGTTGGCTCAGATGGGCCGCGCGGCTGCAGCAGGGGCGCGCCCACCTGCCCCCCGCCGTGCCTGGGGCCGCGCCACGCGGCGGGCGGGGCCCGGAGCTGGTCGCGGCCGCCCCGCCGGACTGGCTCGAAGGCCGGTCGGCTCCTCTCCCGGAGGCCGTCATCGCTGGCGAGCTGCGACGGCGACGGCGCGCCGCGGCGACTTGGAGGCGCGCCGCCCCGG